TTGACACAATGTTTTTCTTTTCTTCTCCCTAACAGGTTCACCCGCGGGTGATTTATAAATGTAAACATATTTTTTAAAAACATCTTTTCAAAATCCTGATCAACATTAACTTTCAGAACATCACAATGATTAATTGTTTATCCTTTTAAAGCCGTTCTGTTATTTTCTTACACATTTAATAAAGTAATTTTTCGGACAATGAAATGAAATTCCGGTTATTAAAAGTAGATAAAAAAAGTCGATTGTGCAGTCATTTCTCCAAATAGCACGCACAGGCTATAATGGGTAGGTTTGAAAGATAGGGTTTGGTGTTTGGACCTAACACTAAGGAATGACTTATATATTTTTTTTTTTTTTCTATAACATCTATACAAGGGGGAAACTATATTGCACTATATTTAGCCTATGTGACAATGCAAATAAATGCTGTATAACAAATTCTTCGGGCTTTGAGCAAAGGTAAAATATCAATCGAGGTTTCGTTCTCTGTACAACAAAAAATCGCATCAAATATTGGCCTTAATTTCTACGTCTTGATCGTGATGCGGGGATTAATGTTTTCTCCAAAAGCCACACTTTTAGCAAAAATAAAATTTCTTATATGTTTTTATAAATAATTAAGTTTAAATACTGAACTTTTAAACCAAATCTTAAGATTTGGTTTTTAGATTAAAAGCACTGATCATGTATCTTGATATTTTTTGCACCCTTACACCTTGAGGCTATTTTCAAAAATAAAGTAAGAAAATGATTTTTTTATTGTAATTAAATGTATGTGTTTAGAAGTTTGTTTTTTCTTTCTCTGTATATGAGAGAGAGTGCGATAGATAGATTTAGCTTGGTCTGGTTCAGCCTTCTAGTAATGATGTACACAGCAAGGATCCAACTGCAGAAATAACGCCTCGTTAGATTATCTTGATAAATACTGCATTACTCTCTTGTCCTGATATAAGTGTAATTAAACGATTGTAAAATAATTCCTTAATATTTAATTAAACAATGTTTGATTTTGTTACCATGGCACATATTCAGATTGTCTCTCGACACATGATTTGCTTGGGTGTTCAATGCTGTATGATTTAGATTCGAGTGTCATTTTTTTTTTTTTTTTCGCAATTCATCCGAAGGATGTCCTAACTGTAAAATATGACGCAAATTTAGGTCTACAAAATCATTAATTAAAACGACCGTACTGAAATCTTTAATTTTTTTTTTTTTTTTTTTTGTAAAGTTTAATCTATTTAAAACACTATTTATAGACTTGAAGTATTGTTTCTTATGGGTAGCTTATTTGTATGGGTTAAATATTTTCATTGGATAAACATTCCAAATATATTCATTTCGCTTGATCATATACCGTGTAACAAATTTATAAAGAAAAGACCGACATATGAGATAACTAGGATTCGATACTGAATTCTACAAGGCGTTCCTTAAGACAAAAATAAATAATTACTTGGAGGTAGGCCCACTAACTCTACAGGACACATGAGTCAGATTGTAGTGGGTTGTATAATATACCCCCCGACCAATTATTATTCTACCTTGACCTAATAAATTAGAGTTCATTAGTGTGAAGTGAACACAACCTTGCCTGATTCTGTACTGTGTGTGTAGGTGGGATCGCTCCGAAAGTAATACCTCCTGTTTTATGTCGCCACTAGGTTGAACCATTATTTTTATCTCTTTTTTTTTTTTTTTTTCGTTTTGTTACAGATATTAGTTTGACAAAATATCGTCTAGCATGAAAGCGCGTATGAAGCTGAAGCGTGTTAATGAATATTTGATGTGGGTGTGAGGACTTTTCATTGATTTTAATCGACATATGCTGAAGAGTGATGCATGCGACAAAATAGGTTCAGAGCGGCCTTTTACATCTGTCAATCTATGAAATGAACAGCATTTCGGAAATGCATAGCTATTGGCAGTGATGAGGAAAATAGTTTTGTACCTCAAAAATTACTCAATCCAACAGTTTTATTGTATTCACTGAGCTTGTAAGTTCGATGAAATAAACAGGATACCATTACTTTCGGAGTGTCTCTGTGCGTGTTATATAATAAAAAGGCTTAAACACTAATATTAATGTTTAAGCCTTTTTATTATATCCTTACTCTGTCCTGGACATTGAGTTCTACCTGGATTCTATCCTCTCGGAATTTTTTATTAAAAAAATATACATATATGTGTATGCACCTAAGTATATATATATTTATATATTTTGCATATGTATGTGTATATTTACCACTAATATTATCAATATTTAATATATATATATATATATATATATATATATATATGGAGAGACAGAGAGAATTAAGTTTTTACTCAACACCTGAAGATTGCGTTGTGCATGAAACTCAGAGTTGTGCTACGATGAGGAAAAAATGTATATTTATTATTAATATATAATTTATTGCCCTCTTATTTCACATAGAGTACTATTTTATTAACCCCAGCACTCAATGTGTTATGTTATATAACGGATGCAACAGAAATACCTCCCACATAATCGCGTCTTCATTTAACTAATCTTTTAACATATGTGAGAGGTATTTCTGTCGCACCCTGTATATAAAATGATTTTTAAAAAAGAATTTAGACTAGGGTCATTTGAGTCCCATCGGAAGAATTATAGAAATCTGTAATAAGCACAATATAGATAAAAATTCAATAGATGAGAATTCAGAATGGATCATAATTTTAGGAGAACTGAGTTTGCTTCCGGCTGATATTGGAATGTGAGCTGTGAATCCCTGACATAACCCACTACTTACAGCATTATTCCTCCTCTTAGAACACCTGAGCAATTCCAGATAGGAGATTTTTTGAATGATAGTATGTAATTCAAAACCTGATAGAATCACCAATTTAGAATTTTGTAATTAAGAAAGCTAGTCAGGAAATTCATCGTGTGTCTAACATTTGAAAAAAAAATCACTTACACGCATAATAATCCTTAGTTTATCAGTGCCATTAATATTTAGGAAGTTATCATTTTCATAACAAAGACAATGATACTCGGCCTCCCTCCTGCAACGGAGATAATACAACAGAAATTTACATTGACTGCATTTCTCAAGACATGGCTAGTAAGACAGAATTTTTCTTTTTGGTCAATGTTGGTTGAATGTTAAGAAAGGTCTTTGGGGACATAACCTTTTTTATTCCATGTGTGCTCATTTTGCTGATGATGCAAATATGGATTATGACTAGATTCGTAACCCTTTCAATATTGACAAAAATTTGAGTGAAAAGTTCGTTTTTAAACAAGCGTTACCAATGAGAAATATTACATTAAATCGTTCTTATATTTGCTTTTAACAGAATGTCACGCGTGTGGCACCTTGCGAGGATCGACCTCACTACTGGTCTCTGGTAATTCGCCTATATTTTGAGTCACTTAGTGCAACCACACATGTAGCCTTTTTACACTACGATTACTAATCATTGACCCAGTGATATGAACAATAGAAAATTAGATATGCACTCATTTCTATAGAGTTCTATACCGAGTAACGTAGAAATATTGGATTGCGCATCTTTTTTTTTTAAATGAACACAAACAATTTTTGTTATGAAATTTAGCATTCTAATTCTTTTTACTAGTATTTGGATTCGAATGGAAATATACAATAACGTATCAGGCCGGTAAGCCTTGAAATCATATCGCTGGCATCATGATATGCCTTAATATAGATCGAAGTAGCGTCATTTATAATATAAATATATAAACACTAGCGATCTAGTTGATGGTTTCTTTTGATTTAGGAATTTTTCTATGGAGTGAATTGAACACATTCACATGACATTAAACAATAATGATTATTACCAACAGCGACACTGAAAACTTGTATTATGGCCGAATATTTTATATGAACAAAATTAAATACGATTTCTGACGTATTTTTTATTCTCGTGAATTTTGGAATGCTGTTTTACGAATGCAGAATTACTGTGAGAAATTTGAAATTCTCCTCTTTTATGGACAATGTTGGCATAGTTGAAACTTGCATATTTAATTATAATTTTTAGCTTCTCCTTTCGCATTTTAAGTTGTCTCCCTTTTACTCTTGATTTGAAATTTGTGATGTTCACTCGCATTGAACATTTGTTTTAATAAGAATTTTTCAGAAAAGTTAGGTTGGCTAACTCCGTGGAACAATAGTTTGATCATTCGACTAATAAAGAATTATAAGTTAACAAGTATATTTGATTCTCATGATCAGCCACACTATAGTTGAACTTTTGTCAGCCTCTGCATGAATCGTCTGAAAGGATGTCTAGTTATATTATAAACTAAAATTTGTAAGTAAAGTTAGTTTAAGTCATTTTAATTGCGAAAAAGCGGGATTAATTTAGTGTTATCCGAAAGAGATTTTTTTGCGTAAAGATCAGCCTGTGATCTGCTTGCATAGACATTAAATGATATATTTTCTTGTTATTTAAATAGAATTGACCAGAAATACCCGTGAAAATTTCAGTTTTTTCCGATTTTAATTTTCTGATGAACCTTAATTCCTAATTTGATGATTGTATAAGTTCATCGCGAGTTCTATGACAATAAAATATCTGTAGAATTTGAAGTATTTCAGCTTTAACAACTTTAAAAGAAGATTGCAATCGGAATCATAAATTATTGGTCGTTGTTTTAAGAAGTAAGGGGCTATAAACGAAACGATTTGAAACTGATAACTTTCTTCATTTCACTGAAACAGACGTAATACACATCTATCTTCCCTTTTCTTTTTCTTTTTTTCATTTTTCTCACTGAAACCAAGTAGCATAGCTGATATGTCTTTTCTGTTTTTCTATGCGATCAATGCGGAATAGGCTATTATTTATGTGGTATTGACACGACATAATAGTCGTGCTAACGGAGGGACAATTAGAATTATATTATTTTCATACTTACTGTTTATTATGTAGGATAGTTTTGAATGAATTAAAATGATAGTCACTTTTCTTAAAGTTTTCTATTCCCCTTTATTTCCTTACTCATGAATTCTCTTTATTTCCCTCCTCTTCATTTTCGCGGAGCTCCCCACTATATTCCCCCTCCTCTAGTTTATAGTTTTGTTGTCAATCACTCAATAGAAATATATTTGTGTTAGTCACCGTGAAAATAAGTGAACAGTGATGCTGAAGAAGGGTTCGGGTGAAAAGAAAGAGTTTAAAGGTCACCTACTCTTTAAACAAGGAAGACTTTTCTTTGTTCTCCATTGAAAAGGCCAACTCCAAGGTGTCTTCTAAAAAGTCTTACTGCTACAATAATCAAATCGTAACTGTTCACGAACAGAAAGAGGGGTGTGGGGGAAATAGCTCCAAGGAGAACAAATGAGATTGATGGGTAGTGGTGGCTGGTGAAACGCTACAGACGACCCGGAAAGAAAAAAAGGAAGTGATGATCTCCAGTTAATATTGTCTTTCTCAACAGCATAAGAATTACACCTTATATATATATATATATATATATATATATATATATATATATATATATATATATATATCGTTTACACTCGTATTGTCTACTTTTCTTTTTACATAAGATGGTGTAGCTGTTTGAGATAATTACAGGCACACATCTTGTGACATTTTTAACAACTGTAATAAAAGCTACCGAGACAAATATTTACTATAACATCTTAAAATTAGTAATAAAGTTTCTGCATTTCTGAAAAGGAGGGACAGTGTTTTGTTGTCCACTTGTCAAATTCTTATAAACTGTTTAAAAATAAGTAGGCGTTTTCAAGTTTACTTAATTACATTTAAAGTTTGTCAAATGAATATTTTTGTTATTTCGATTCCACTTTATTGGAAATATACAAACGTCCACAATGAAATTGACGGAAATTTATAAATTTATCAGAAACTTTAAACCGTTATACGTCAACAGGAGATCATTCCATCTCTCTTTTCAAGGAAAACAAATCTCTGTTTTATTTACAATAATATTTTTGTCTAAACAGAGTGTAAAGAAAATTTTCAAGTTTTCTTAAAGACAAATATCGATAATCATAAATTATTTTTACGAGAGTGTTTAATTTACGAAATATGTAAGCATACACCATAAATTTGCATATATTGCATGTGATCACAAAACATAAATAACACATACACACACACACACACACGCACACACACGTATATATAGTTTTTTTTTTTTTTTTTTTTTTCAGTGGCATGGATATTAGTTTGTAACCCAGGGTTTCACGCTTTTGCTATCATCAAACAATCAACTTGATGAAAGTAAAAGCGTGAAACCCTGGGTTACAAACTAATAACCATACAAGTGAATATGTTAGCTATAAAGCAGACATTGAGCATTTTTTGCTAAATATCACGCGCGTGCGCACAGCACACACACACACACATATATAAGCAACAATCCTTCTTTTATACAAGTTTCATTGAAGTCTACAAGGTACTGCAATTATTATTTTCTTGCTTTTGTAAAAGTGATTTGTGTATATATATATATATATATATATATATATATATATACACACATACACACTTGGACGTGGGGTAATGGTTAGCAAGCTAAATCAATTGACTGAGCAGTCCGATCTTCACTGGGTGCACCCTCCTTTCATCCTTGTGTCACATCTAAGCTAGGCTTAGTAGTAAATCATTATGATGATGATGATGATTGCCTAACAATCTGAATTCTGACCGTATTTTCACTTTTTATTTTTAATTATTTGCTTAATATTCTATTAATACTCGCCACTGAATTAAGTTGAAATAATTTCGTGTGCGATTATTGATCTAATTATGTTTACGTGTATCAGCCCCACCACCCACTAATGTACATAGAATATTTCATTCTTGAATGTTGATGGTAAGTTACGGCCTTGATAATTTCATTCATATATTGTTGCTTGGTAAAGCTATTATTACTTCGTTCATATATAAAAATCAACTTGGTGTGCAGTTGGTGAGTTTTTTGTTGTTGTTTTTTTTTTTTTGGCTTTGTTTATTTTTATTCATTTCTGTTTGTTGTTGACTTTACACTACAGCCGTCGTATGAGCTGACGCCCACATCCAGGCGACATACTTAACGTAAGTGTAACCCAGGAATCTAGTTTGAATGCGAAAATTGGTGTCATTCGTGTTTTCGTTACCTTTTATCCAATGTTTTCTAATCTCTAAATCAGATTTAAGCTTTTTTTAATCTCAAGTGCATTGCAAAATTTGATAATTCATTTTCTGTTCGTGAAAATATAGCAAAAATCTGAGGGTTTTTTTTTTTTTTTTTTTTTTGACAATCATTTTTGCATGTAATTACGTATGAGTGTTGTATAATTTAAAATAAAAATAAATTCTTTATGAATTTAGTTTGGATATACATTATTTTCACCACCTCAGTTGTTTAAATTATGCTTTACACTAAATGATGCTAAGTTAGATAAGGAAATAATTTTCATTTAAAGTAATTTCTATTTATGCAAATCACATTATTTAACTTAAAAATTATTATTTTTTTTTTTTTTAACTGACAGTGTTAAAATTTGAACCCCCAAATCCTGCAAATAAATTAAATAAAAGCATTCAAATTATCCAGCATACAATAAAAGTTATTAACTTTAAAGGTAAAGAAAAATTTTGTTTAGCGTTATTTGTTAAAAATTATCACACAAATTCGATGTCACTTTGGGTAAAATCGATTTAAGATATAATTTGTAGAGTTCATTTCCCCAATGTTTTGACAACTACACTAAAAAGTTTAATTGTAAAACCTGGCACTCATCATCAATAAATATTCATCTATAATTAAGAAAAAGAAAAGAAAAATTAATTTATTTCACATACGCAATCAGTCATTAGACATGTAAATACAGAATATTTAAATTTGTGAGAAAAAATAACATGCCATTTCTTTTGACCCCCACAAACTGCATTGGAGAGAATAAATATGAATATTGGTTTGTTTCGTGGTTGAAATAGGGAATTTTCCATTTCCCACAGGCATCGAAAGTCGGTTTTCTTCAGTAAGCAAATCCTCTCTACACTTAGAAAATAAAATATATTGTAACAATATATCCCTGCCAAAAGTTGGTGTTACTGTTATAAAATAAGCTTCCATTGCATGGGTGTTTTATTCATTTTCTTTGCATGTCCGTCTTACAATACGAACACACGAACACAGGCGCATGCGCACAAATACTATGCTTTCGCGCATGCGTGCGTTTGAAACTTTTTTAGTTCTCCGAAAAGAAAAAAAGTGATTTTTTTTTCACTCCTACTTATTTTTATTTCTCTTTTTTTTTTTTTTTTTTTTTTTTCTTTCTTTCTTTCTATCCAATCCTTTGGCAGTCCTAAGCTGAACATCATTGTCCGGCAAGATTAGAAAGAAGAGAGAAGCGAGGAGAAGGAAGGGTTTGAAAGTGCTTTTTGCCTATTCGACTTTGCCATTGGTCGGTCGGTCGGCTGGAAGTCCCCCCCCTCCACGTGACTCGGCCCATCCGTGACAGGCGAGCCCATCCAGCTATGAAGTAAAGAGCCATTACTATGTCAGCTGGTGATCAGAATGAAATAAATTTCCAAAATCTGTCGGCCATGCAGAAAGCGTACTACAATTCCATGCAAGCATTTACTGGTTACTATTCCAACGAAAATGGTTACTGTTACGAAGTGGCGGCTCCTTACGGCGTCGGGCCTCAGCAACAACCACCACAACCCCAACAACAACAGGCTCAACCACACCACACGCAGCAGCAACAACAACATCATGCCCAACAACAGCATCATCAACAGCAGCAACAGCACCAACCTCAGCATCACCAACAAGCACACCACCCCCAGCAGCAACAACAGTGCAACTCTACCGATTATTTCGGACAACCTTCGTGTCTTCTACAACAGAACCATATCAACTCGACCGCGCCTGTTACCACAGAGCCCACAAACAACGGAACTGGTGGTGGTGGTGGAGGTGTCGCGGTGATTGGAGCCGGAGGTGCCGGTCCCGGTGGAGGAGCCGGTGCTTCTGGAGTAATCGTCAGCGGAGGTGGTGACGGTAGTGGTGGTGGCGGAGCTAATAATGGAGTTGGAGGTGTGATACAAGCCGGTGGGGGAGGCGGTGGCCAGGACTACGGAAGTGCCTACTCGAACCCGTGTATGCAAGCGGCGGCTGCGGCGGCGGCGGCGGCAGCAGCGGCAGCCACCCTTAATTGCAATCCGGCTGCTATGGTCGGTTCTGGCCTTAACCCCAACCACCACCAGTCCCTCTTGAAGCAACAGCAGGAAATCTATCCCTGGATGAAGGAAACACGGCAAAACTCTAAACAACGTCAGACAACTGCGATGTCAGGTAAGTAAAATCAATCAAAATAAGTTGTTTTTAGCGTTTATTTCCTCAATATTTTGAACGCTGCATTGAACTGTGAGACCTGATAGCCATTGTCAGTAGATTTTGGAAATTATATTTTAATTGCAAATTAAAAACAAGAAAAAATGTAAGATATCGAATTTTCTGTATTTTTATTTTAAAAAAATACATAAAAATAAAATCAAAACATTAATCTCAATTTAACCTCACCTTTAAAAAATTTGTCTTATTGCGTTTTTCTGTTTACTTAAGTTAAATGTTATCGATTTACTTTTTAATTACGTAAATATGTTCTACTAAAAACTATCTTAAGAAATTCAATGGAAATATAAATTTTCTTTTCCAGGATAACAGAAAAATATTGCTTCTTTTGTAAATCATTTGTTTACAATTTGAATATCAATTTTTTCCTTTTTTTAACATATTAAAACCTTACTAAGTCATTTTTTTCCGAACATGTAAGCAGTATTTTTTAAGCATGAAATATCGTTACGTTAATGAAATTCTGTTTCTTCCTATATCAGTACATCGTACACCGATTTATTTTTGATTAGTGAAATCAACCAGAATTTTATCCACATAAAAACTAAAGGAAGTGATTTTATTCATCGCTTATAAACAGAAAATCCATTTTTCACACGATAGTTGTATTTTGTTTTAAAGACCGTTACAAAATGGAAGTACCTTTTTTTTTTATCATTACTACTCTCTGTCCTGAGATAAAATAGTTCTTATTTCGTAAATTATTTTACTCAAAACATTTCGTTTTTTGTTTTTTGTTTTTTTTTAACCACTAAATCTCGTTCCGATATTTTTATTCCGGAAATAACATTTTTGTCATTCAGATCGCTGAATTAAAAAGTTTTGAAAAGTTGTCAAGATTAATAAAAGGCTGCTCGTTATTAAAAATATGATGATGCAACTTCTACATGAAAAAATTAAAAAGCATTCAGTCAGGAGTTAGTTATCAAAACAAAGATGAAAATTCTATTATCCAGAATAATAAACGAAGTATTTACTTCTTTCTAGGTCAAATGTTACATCAACTAAAAAATGTTATTTTTTATTTATCTTTGTAGTAGAGAGAATTATTGATAGCAATCTACATCCGTATAAAAACTAAAGATAGGAATTGGATGGAATAATTTCGCAAAGTTTTACTTTTACTTAGTAGGTCACCCAATAATTATAAAGTTCGCAAGTTGATAATAGTCCTCAAAATTATATTTTCTGTTATGATGAACTAACAAGCGACGTACACTCTACGAACCACTCGATATTTTCAATGTAATTATTGTAGTTTTATAAGCTTACATTATTTTATAAGCAATTTATTATTGTCACTGAGATACGCGTCGATGTAAGCACACACATTTTTAAGTACATATGTTTTTTTATCTACACTCATATTTGAGCATAAATTATTTTCCCATCAAGATGATGATCATGAAAATATTTGTAACATGAATTTAAATAAAACGAATTTTTCCTTGTAAATTCAATTATTTATTAATTATTTTGTAGAACTTACTTACACAATTAAAATGTATTTTTTAGCCGGGAGGAAATTATATTTTTTTTTGTAAACTTCGTGTCATAATGTCCACTTACGTACGCAGATTTTCTGAGTTCTAGCCTCAATAGACTAAAAAGTTTCCTATAAGAATAACAAATTTAGAATCTTGCAGATGTTTGTGCATCCATAACAGATATTTTTTAAATTTTTCCGAACATATTTATACACAGTTTTTGCGCTAATAAGCAATTATATAGAGCTAACCACACACCTCCCGCCATAAAGTGTCTATATTCTAATAATCATGTGAACCAGACTTAGTAGCTTCTGTTTAGTTTAAGGTTTCCAATGTTATTTACATCTTCAAAACAATGACTGGATAAATTTCGTGCAACTTTAGAGAGTGAGGTTAAAGAATAAACGCAAGTAAAATAAATTTGTTCGAAAGCATTTAGCCTTTAGGCTTCGGAATTTACGGGGAAAACATGCACAACAGAATTATTCCAAGAGTGCAAGAAAAATAAAATTTGAGGTCACCCTTCTCGTAACAATTTTGGTATGACAGAGAAAACTTGGATTTATAAATAAGTTTCCAGTTAAAATAAAAGAAATTCTGGGTATTTTGTTTTTAAGTTTAAATATTAGTGTGTCTGTAGATGAGATGATTAATAAATTCGAGTGTTGAATTTAAAAGTGAGTTTTGCAATACTGAAGAATTGTGCCAGACGAAAATAATCTTAGTAAATATTCACATAGTCTGAACAGCTTTAAGTCGATAGATAAATATATAGAAATAAATAAATAAAAATAAAATTTGCTCGATGTGTTCGAACTTTGGAAATTTCTATTATTTCTGACGTAGGTATACTTGTTTCATTTAGACTGACGCAACACAGTCTTTCTATCCTTATTCTTCCGTCAATTAGTGTCAATCAGAAGCAGTTTTAATTTTTGGTACTAAATTCATTTGTAATATTCTTTAGTAAAAATTATGGGTAATGTTTCCTAATTCCGAATTCTTCTATTCCTCATTTTTTTCGGTGCACAACATATAAATTCAGAATCCATTATTTAATCATGATTTTTTTTTTTTCATTTTTAGTAAAAACAAAAATAAAAAGAGAAACGATTTCGTGGTGAAATTACACTTTTCAGTTGGCAGTGATAAAAATAAAGTGAAACGATTGACCTTAAATCGTGTTTACTAAATGAACGGACAAAATGTACCTCTCTCTTCTATGGAAAGGGAAATGAAATATTTTCAAATGTTTTCGAATTTCACGGCTTCAAAAATATCAGTTAACTATCTGAAATATTCGAAAGAATAGAATGCTCACGAAACCTGTTCGACATACAATCATTATTATTCGTTTTTATGCTCCTACTAAATATTTTGAATCAATTTTTGCTTCTCTTTAATTCTTATCACTTTTTATTCACTTGTTTTTTATAAGCTTTTATATACAAATAATTCGATCAGACATTCCATTCACTGGCCTTTAACTAGTTTATATGGCCTCTGAATGGACCGACTATAATGTACTTTATTATATAGCAGACAATGACATGATTATTTATGGATCGACACGTCTAAGCATTATGTGTTGCACCTGGTCTTTTGTCTTAGATCAGGATCTCTACACTCTTTGAAATGTTACATAATAAATATCTGGGGACACATACACATTTTACATGCACATATTAAAAAGTATCTATAGTAAGTTATATCTCTACACATGCATAGTTTATAACCTTTCAGAAATGTCGAAAAATGCTATTATAAGTTTTTATTCTATTGAAAATCTACTACGTTATTATTACGTATTCTACTTATCCTTATTGCTATTAACACTGACTCGAATCTTCAGTAGGTTTAAACAATTATTTTTTTCAGTAACATCAGACTGACCTAAACCTCCAAAATTATGCTTAGGTTTTAGTTGATCTGCTGTTTGCAAAAAATTTAAAACTATTAATAAAAAATAAATGCACTCTTGTCATGTCTACCTATTTCATAAAATAACTGTTTTCCTGGAGAGTTGTCTGGCAGTCATAAAGGATTGTTTTCTTAGTATCTATCCTGCGAGTCTGACTGAGAAATAAAGAAAATAGCATTGTAGGAAATGATATATAACAGTGATTTTGATTCAAATCCACATCTTTAAGACCAACATTAATAATTGGATATTTAAGAATTTTATCTTACTTCTGTATAAGGTCAACTGGAAGTGATGGATTGAAGGATAAATAATTATACTTGTATATCAGGTAAGAGAGAGGGAGCTTCCTTTTTTTGTTCTTTATTCCAATTCACGGCAATGGTGGAAAAGCCCAACTATCTCGACCACTAAACAGGCCGAAAAAATGTAATTTTCATGTCATCTTAGTTACAAAAAAAATAAAATTTTATTTTTAAAGTAGACTTATTTCATTCTAAAAGAAAATTAAAAAAAATTTTAATACCTTTTCAACTTCTTTTGTTAAAATTGAAATATTTTATTTTTATGATAATTACGATTCTCAGAATACCATTTTCTTTGGATATCTGTTGAAGTCTGCTTATTTTCAAAGGATGCACATGAGTGTACATTGCAGATGAATGTACAATTACACCAGGATATATATATATATATATATATATATATATATATATATATATATATATATATATATATATATGATTACTTTTTGAATTTAAAGGTCTGATTATTTGGATCGTGATAAATTATAACCATGAAATATTAGTGTTTGAGACTTTATATCATTCATAACGGGCGTGGATGTATGGATACGTCATAGTACCACATAGATGCTAGCAGCTACATCGTTTTTATTATTATTGTTAACTATATTTTGGAGCGCTGATTAGAAATTTTGTCCATTTAAGAAATTCTAACCTTCCTAAAGATCCCCATAAAATTGGTATTCGTAAGCTTTTCTATAAATTTCTATTTACCTGTGTTTTATATTTTTTTAAAATTATAATTGACGTCACACATACATCAAATAACAAAGTCCTCATTTAAAACAGAAAATTCGTAGGTAAGAATTAGTCTTCGATTGTGTGTATGTGTGCGTTTAAGAACAAATCTTATGCGTTTGTACATTCGATAAGATATATATGCAAACAATTTCATTAAACGTGAAGAACGAATCGCCAATACAGAAACTTTTAAAACAAAAAATTTACAAATCCTGTATCCGATTTAAGAGGATATTTATCACAGAATCCCGTTCAAATGCTGTCAGTAAATTTATTATGATTTCAATAATCATACTTTGAATTTTGTCTGAACATACTTTGAAGAACTCTAACGGCACTCTATTATTTCGAAGATTATTAGCAACAGAATATTTATTAGTTAAACAAATGTATATCGTTGAGAATGTCACGCAAATCTCCGGCAGATTTGATGAAATTTAGGATTTACTGATTTTTCTGCTTACAAAATATTGAAACTTTTAAAATAATATTTTTCTAAACGGTTTCCATCAAAATCAATTTACTCCAGGTAAAATATATTTTAATGTTCAATGCTTTTCCTTTTCGATGAAAAATATTTGCTATACGTAAAAATTATTTTTGCTCTCTTTAAGATATAATATTAGTGATTTAATATAGGTAACTTCTGACAAAAGTAAAACTATAGAGAAAGGAATAATAGCTTTAGCGAAGTTATTTTTATCACTGTCAGAATGTTGTCTAGGGGAAAAGTTTTCTAATCTTTTATTTTTATGTTATTGCGTATCTGGTAAATAAAATGAATTAATTAAACAGGTAAATTTTTAATGTAATTTAGAATATATTTTTAAAAATTCATCTGAAAGTTTATAACATCTTTAACTCAAAAATTATACATCATAAAAGAATTTCAACAGAACAAAATGATTTTTAATTTTACCAAAAAAAAAAATCGAATTATTTGTGGATTCATTTAAAATTTTTACAATCGAAAATTATAAATTTGTATTTACAAACAATGAAATAAAGATGTTTACTAAATCAATAAGTATCAGTTACTGATACGAGATAAACAATCACATTTTTCTTCTTTAATAACAATGATTTTGTTTTTTGTCTTTTTGTATAGAATAAATATTTTGATTTCTGAATATCTTTTTTTTTATATATATAAAAAATCTGCGAAAGTAATTCGAGAAATTGTTTGTACATTTAAGAGTGAGAATAATAAAATGCTCGATCCGACAAAGATATTTTTAAAAATGATTTTGGGAGGATTTGATCCGATTAATTAATTTCCAGCAACATCTCATAGAAGTAAAATATTTCAAATATCACCAAATTAATTTTTAACACAAAATTTTAAAAAATTCAAATTTTATTTGAATGAAACTTTGACTTTTATTTTTATGAAATAAACCCATTTAGTGATAAATAACATTTTCATATTATTTTGTTTATTGTCAATTTTAGTTTGTTATTAAAAACATTGTTATATAATAATATTATTAACGATTAACTAAAATAAATACGCATCATTCTGTTTACTTTTTCCTTTTTGTAAAAAAAAAAATTATTTCACTTCAGGTTTTAGATTAATATTCTGATTGCCTTCAACAGATTCTACTTCATTCTTTTAGTGAGAACAATATTTACTGTTTAAGGTAGATATACCCAGAATAAACACTACTGAACATTTTTAGTTCTGAGAAATATATCCTTTTTTTAATATTTTTTGAAAAACTTAGGAGATAACCAGTTCTTCCTCTCTAATCTATATCATGATTGTATTGTTCATAAAAATTTAAGTTTGAACCTTATTTTTCGAAAATAAACGTTTTGTTTAAAAAAAAAAAAAAAAAAAGAGGCGACTCATGTTGTAGCAGAATTGACTTTTGCCCTCTCCAAGTGAAATGTGCAGATAACGCGTTTAACGTGCAGTTTTCTTTTCATTCCAGTAAATTGCCCTTAAAAATGTTTAACGAATCAAAATCCTACTTGTCTGTCTTTATTATCATTAATTTTATACCTGAATTCGAATATGGGCTTTTTCTTCAATATAGATGTGAAATCTGTGACTTTCATCAATTACGTACTTCGAACGTCGAACACTGACTTCGGTAGGAAATACACACTTAATACTTTTTATTTCTAATTCTTATCAGAACGTTCCTTTATACTAAGTTTTGAGAAGATTATTAATGTTAGAAAGTTTTAAATGCATATACGAAATATTAGACATGGTAAAAACAAATAAGTTTATAAATTTTAGACTTTGTTCTAACAGATACTTTTTACTTTCCTTTCAATTGTACTTTTTGCATCGATAACCGTCGGTGTTTATATTATTAGCGAGAAATAATTGCACTTTTATTTAAAATGTTAGACGTATTTGTGTAATTCTTGTTAGAGAATAGCATAATAGTTTATTTTCTAAATTCCTAATACTTTCGCGCACAATGAAGCAGAAATAAACTGTTTCTAAATCAATGTTGGCATTTTTATAAATTATTTTTATTACGATTATTATGATTATGTTATTCGAAAGAAAGATTAACTTCAGTTTTTGAAAAATCTTACAAAGATAAAGTAACACTCACAGAAATTAGTTTAAAAATTAATTCAGATATTGAAAATTAAATTATACATGATACTTAAAGTGAAAAATTCATAAATTTGTACGGTTATTAAATTTGCTTAATCATTTTTTGAAAAGTTTGCGGTTGTAATTACTGCATAATAAATATTTTAAATTTCATACATTACCTTAAAAGTCAATTTGATATTAAATTCAACTGGCAAACAAAAGTAAAATTTACACTTATATAAATTAAAAAAAATTAACAAATCAAAATTTATTTTTTCTTATTTTTAATACTGTCGTCATAAATTTCATTTTATATTCTTTTTCCTACATTTCTGTCAACATTCTGACGTTTCTTGCTAACAGTTACGAGTAAATGATACCAATTTTGTTTGAGTTTTTTGTTTTTTCCTCATAAACAAAGTAGGACTACTTGATCGATGTGATCAGTATAAAAAAGATCTTTAAAATTTTAATGTTCAATATTTAATGAAACGATCTTAGCAAAAATTGTAATGATCACATAAAATTTTAAACTCGTAGTATTAGATGTAATAGTATTCAAAATTGTTTGACGCATTGCAAGTCACTGTTAACTTTTGCCCATTATTTTTCTAAGCCTCTTTCTATAGCAACTTTTTTGTTGATTCTTAGCACTTTTAAAAATATTAAAATCTATTCACTTTGTATTAGGCCATATTTGCGTTAATTCCTGGAAGTGAAATAAAAATACCACCTCATAAATTATATTCTTCCCTTGAGCTCTATTTGCAAATTCTCCCCCACCCACGATGAACTTCTTTTATTTTATCATTATTTTTTTTTAATAACAAGAATCATGATCTTATTTTTAATCGTTTTTTATGGCTATTTCGCTATAATCATTAACACGATTGTCCCTGAGTCTTATCATAATGGCTATTATTTGTATTCCCATTATAGTAATTATTTTACCCTTATCAAGATTATCCTGTCAAGATAGCATCTTTTATTATTATTATTATCCATTTTCTTCATTGCCGTAAAGATAAACATGATGCGTTTTCATAAAATAATCTAATTTTAAATTTATCGACAATTTTAAATACTTCAAAATAAACTAATTTATATGTTTTGTTAATAACTTTTGTGTAGAGAAAATATCTTTCTATCGACAGCTCCTGGTAGATTTATCATATTCTGAAGCCCAAAGTACAACTGGAACTAATTTCTTTTGCGTATACATAAAAAAAAATTCCACTCTGAAATCTGAACTGTCTTGATTTTAAGGCATTTATTTATTTTACTAGTTCACAGCAAAGAATACAATCTTCTCAAAGATAAAACAGGATGTACATTTAATAGTAGCATTCTTAGTAGCATTATTACTTAGAGCGTAGCGATTTTGCATTACTGTCAGATTTGATTACGCAAGTCAATATTTTCAATATAAAATTAACATTAACCAACAAATGATGGTGAAATTTTCTGAGCATTTGTAAAATAAATATGCCATAAAAATTCAGCTTATTTTTCTTATGAATATCACAATAACGTATCTAGAGTTGGATTTTATGTAACCCGTGTTTTTTCCTTATCCATAAAATTGTCATGAGTTGTAAGAAACATAAGTTGAAGAGAAACTCTATATTATAAAGTCGAGTGATGGGAAGACAACTTTGAAAATTGCTAAGAATTTAAACAAATAAAAAATGAAATGGAATAGATTGGGATGATAAAAAAATAACCGGTTATGAGTATGTCAGAAAATATTTGAGAAAAATAATTAATGAACAAGAAATTTACATTAACAAAAAATTATTTAAATAACGATAGTGTTCTGAATTTATAGAGAAAAAAAGAGTTGAATATTAATTATTGGTTGCTTTCATGCTTAACAAAACCATTGACTGAAAGACTGATGAAGTTTTATCGAATGTCAATGCACCTGTAATAACATAAAATTTCAGTTTTATGCGAGAATCATTTGAATCGAATGTTTTGTGGCTCATGACTTTGAACTTATTTATGAATAAAATTTCTTGTTGTAATTTGCTTAATAAAATCTGACACTCTCCAAATTTAGACTTTACAAATATTTGTTTAAATAAACGTAGATATTATAATGTGAAATTCACGCAATCTATTGCTCACGTAAATATATGCGGACACTTGTGCCAACATTCCTTTTTTTTTTTTTTTTTTTTTTAAATATCAAATTTATGATGAAAACATTTACTTAATTAAATCTGATAAAGTGTACGACTATCGTAACACCAATCCTGGAATTGATACATTGTTCTATTCGTGTCCTTATCTTATTTGCTATGGACCCAACGTAGTAGCATTTGTATCCTCGGAAATTCGCTATGTATTTGTCTTATTGGATAACCTTTCGGGAATTCTAGACAAAAGTTTTTTTTTTTTTTTTTTTTTTTAATTCAATGCACGGGTGTAGATATTTCTCATCCGAGGTTATCTTTCTTCTCAGTTAATTGATCTCTCTCGTAATGTCTCTTTTCAAAGATATCCCCTAACATGAACGATAGAGCCTCATTGATTGAATTGTGTTCAGATCGAAATGGCAAGAAGGCTAACGAATGCGTCGTACCTTTGTAAAAATCCAGCCCTCTATTCTACAACTGGTGACATACACCTGAAGAAAGTTGGGAGAGAAAACATTTTGGTCAAAGCAGCAAGGAAGAATGGGGCTGCTATGATGCTGCTGCTGATAATAATAATCATTTTTTTTTTCCCAAGAAATCCGGGCAAATATTTTCATAAGTCTTACAAAACCAATTATTTTATTTTATTTTATTTATTTATTTTTGCTTTCAACATAATCGCTTACGACCATATCGCATGGAAACAGCGGTTCACGTCCGATCACCGAAGTTAAGCGGCGTTGGGTCTAGTTAGTACTCGGATGGGTGTCCGCTGGGGAATACCAGGTGCTGTAAACTACGTGACAGTCCTAGTAAATTAGCGATGGATAAATTTCGATATGTCGAGGTGTTTCTGGAGTTACAGGTCGCAAAACCAAGCTGGAGTTGACCGAGTGATTAGATTGGCATCATCAACATCTTTCTTATCCTTAATTGATTTAATAGCGGCTCTCACACACGTAATTTCAGTTTTATCTGCTTTGTTATATAGGTTTCGATTGTTCCTCTTCATAACACTACCAAGTCTCGCCTTTCTAGGCATTGAACTTAGGAAGATAGAACTTTTCCAGTGCACTAAAAGAGGAAGCGATTTAATGTCTCCTGATGTTTTTGAACTTTCGTATTTTTACAAAAGTCAAAAATTGGAACCGTCCTGGGTAAGACGATAAACTACGTCCAACTACAAGGACTCTAATCAGGAGGTTTTATGGATCGTGGAACCACCTCTTAATTGCTGGTCTTCCCAGATCCACTCTGATCTGCGGTGGTAGCACCTCTTAGAGTCCCAGCTATGGCTAAATAGTTAACACCTAAACTGGGGTCAAAACACTATGGAAGTGTAAAAGTAGGTTTCATTACCAGCAATACAGTTTTGAAAAAATATTACAAGCTATATATTTTTTTTTTTTTTTTTTTGAAAACTATATTGCCAGCAATAGATTTTTTGAAGAAAAACATTACCAATAATATATTTTGGTAAAAAATATTAGCAGTAATAAAAATTCTGTCCGCATTAAATAATCTATTGAGGTTGATAAGCCGTAAAATAAACCATGAGAAATGAGTTCGCGTCTACATTTTGCATTACTTTTCATACTTAATGGTTATTACAAACTCCTTAAGTCTTCCTAGAACTTTTGCCTTTATCTTCGACACGCCCTTTTCGTTCATTTTATATTTAGGTTCTTTAGAATGTAATGATTACTTTTTTCAGCAGTTTATTGCTTTCTTTTCTATGATCTTAACTTAAAAAAAAACCCTCTTCACTTCACACAATGAAAGTGTCGTTACATATTTCTAATAATGTAAATTTACAAACTTATTTGATGATCACATAATTTTTATCAATTATTTGTCTGCCCAATTGGTAAAATATGCTGCCGAATATTTGGTTCTAGTAAAGGGTGTTGGACCGATTTTAAACTTAATTCATATTTAAAATTTGTCCAAGTTATTGGAACACCCTTTACTAAAATGAGCCAAGTTGGTGTCAATGTACCAACACAATAAAGCATTACCAAACAATCAGCTTTCTACCAGTAAAATGTTTCGCATAGTCACAGTTATTGCTATCTAGATTAGTTCGATCTTCTCTTCATATAACTTTTATGATTGTACTAGCATCCATAGAATTGGAAATGAAAAAATAATACCCTTCTTTACAAATTCGCATAATGTTTGTTGATTTCTATTTTATGAATCTAAAGGGTGAGATTTTTTTTTCCTCCGAGTATATATTGAAGTTTTTTGCATATTTATTTCTTTTTTACGTGGAACATCAGACAAAAAAATAAATCGAGCATACTTACATTTTTTTCATTTATCTGTTTGTTTTACTCGTATTGTAAGCAGATTTTTTTTTAATCATTTAATGATAGAATCTTTTACCAGAGTAAATAAAAAAATAAATAAATAAAAATGAATCACTTGTTTATAAGAGTGACAGTCTCTTCCTGGAGGAAGGGAATTGAACAAAGTCTTTCTTGGGCAAACCTCATCTATCCTTATTCTCTCAAGTTATAAACACTTTGTGCTTCGTCTTCGCTATTTTCAACTCATGAACACTCACCCACGTGTCGGGATGAACTCGTAACACGCGCTAAAAGTGAAGACTGTATTTAATTCGATGCAAAAATAGCACGATCAAATAACGAAGGTATTCGTTAACATTCTTTATATCGTACGTGGTCGTACCAAAAACTATCCAGGAAATGGTAGAAATTTTCCTCTCGTTAACATAGATGCGAATGCTGTAAAGACCATCGAACCAGAAGTTTAAAGAGAGAACATAATTGTCTTGTTTTTATTCATGGTCTTTATGGTGTGATTTTTGTAAGTCTAGATTAATGGTTAACAAGCTACTTTTTAAAGCACATTAATATTGTCTGTGTTGCTGTTGATCCACACGTGCGTTTTGGGCCAAATTAACCAAATAACTAATTTCTCTCTCTATATATATATATATATTTCTCTCTCTGAAACGCTCGAAAAAAAATCTGTTTCGCCAAATTTTGGTCAGTGGGTTAGGCCGAGATGTTTTCAACCCAATTTCAAATCTCGTAGATTTGACCAATGCCCAAAGAGAGACAGGTCGTGGTGATAGTAATTATAATAAATAATCAAAAGATGTTGTGTCCCTCCAATATTCCAGTAATATAAATGTGTTGTAGTCTGTCCGAAGAAATAAGAGAAAATTTATTATTCATTATTTTCCCCGAGTCCATTAGAAAACACGCGTGCTGTTACATTTCAGTTTTACAAATGCAATTAAAAACAAATCCCTATTTTTTAAGTTTCACTAAAGATGATATCGAAATGTTTGGGCAAAGCACACACATGGATGATTAGAAACCTGGTAAATCAGTTACAATGAAACGTGTGTGAGCAAATAATTAAAAAGCAAAACTTAAGAACAAATAATTATTTTTATAAAATAACAATGATACGTTACCGTTACTCTGAATCATTGAAATGACGAATAAATGTGTAAATATAGTAGATGTAAAAAAATATAACTCAAAATCCGTCGTAAGGGGGAATGAAGATGCGAAAGTTGTTTTCAATTATTTACCTTGAAAACAAGCATTTGAATTTTTTTTTTTTTTGCCTGGGATAGAACTAAAACCATTGACAAATAGTTTTCATCAAACAAAAGGTCTCTTATCATTTGTGATTATTTATACATATAATGATGTTTAAACGTTTTCAAAGGGGAATCTACAATCTATTAATATAGTTTTGTTTTATTTTGGTGGGGTGAATGTTATTTCTGCTAGCAAAAGAATATCCGAAATTATCTGTAACCTATTAATTGTAACGTAGAAACGAGTTGTTGGCAGTTTTCTTTAATCAGCAGTATTTTATTCTACACCCAGAAGTCCAATTAATAACAGAAGGGACGCAACTGTCCACCACTGCTATGAAATATATTTCACTTCTTTGGCAAACCAAGTGCAAATTGAAACAGCTTACAAAACATTTCTTTCTAATTAATTTCCGCTTTCCACTGATGATCTGATCACTCAGATTTCCATGTCGTTAAATTGATTTCATTTTGGTTTTGTTCTTAAAATACTGATGTTTTATTAAAAACTCATGTTCCGTTTGTCATTTTTGTTTATATTTTATTCTTTTGAAATATATTGTGAATATTAATTTTTCGTTTAACTATTTTGAAGACAAATGTTTTACTGATGGGGGTCAGCTGTGTCAAACTGAAACCGCAGTTGTCGAGGTTCTATTATGTATCTTATTTGATGACATCTAAAATTTCCCAACCCATTTCAGCAGAGTTTATGAAAGAGAAAATCTATTTCATTGTAGTTCAAAGTAAGCATTTAACATTATTGAAATATATTTCTGAATTTTATGATATTGCAGTAAATAAAGTGACAGTAAAATGGAAGCAAATAGAAGTCCAGTGAATCTGTATTTATCGGAGCACAGTAATAATGGCACGGGTAAAAATGGCACAAGTGGGGAAAATGGGGAAAAAAATGACACAAAGCGAAAACACACAGAAAAAAAATGAAATACACACGTTCAGAATTTAGTAAATTCTGAAAAATATATAAATATTGAACCATTAACTCTCTAATTAGGCGCCAGTTGACTCCTTTGTCATCAGTGGCTTTATCACAACCTCACCATGGAAGTTATAGCAAGTAATAAAGAAAAAGAAAAGATTTGTTTCCAAGGGTACATGTATATACAAAGCAGATTGCAAGATCAACTACTATCAGATGGAGATGTGTTAAGAGAACATCTTTTTGTAAAGCAACCATGACCACCAGCCTTGTTAAGATTTATTCTGTAGCAGCTAAAAAAACACAACCCCACTCCTGATTATGCAATTATTGCATCTACGAAATGCATTATTGCTTTGTGCCATTTTCCCCTGTGCCATTATTACCTAAATTTGTATTTACCATGCCCTTAATTTTTGTCTCAAGATCAAAGACATAGTTTTAGTATTTTTTTTTTCCCAGGGAATGGAAGGTGCTTTTTATATTCGCTCTAATGAGAAATTAAAACTTATTCTGGAAACTACTGGAAGGGTTGGATTAAAAAATTATTAAACTTTTAAATTTAATCAAAGCGTAAAGTAGTGAACAAATTTTAGTTGAAATGGACAGTAAAATCAAATTATCACGGTTACTTAGAAATAATAACTGCTTTTGAATCCGATATGAAAACAAAATTTTCTTCTTTACTCTTTTTCCACCTCTCTGTTTTCTACCTACTCTTTCAGTTTTCAACCGCCATCTCTTTCGGTGTTCTATTCTGTATGACTTATACCACTCTTCACCGGTTACCAGGTTTTGTTTTTGCAGGTCATTTTGCAACATTAACAGAATGTGATAACTAAGCGCAGAATTTTGAAACTGAAACCAAACGTTTCTGTGTTGTGCGGTAAATATGAGAAAACACTTCATTCTCGGTGTTAACTAATTAATAGAGTTGTTACTATAACGAAATTTCCTAAGGTAATTTGTTGTTAGCTGCGATTGTTCAATGCATAAACGCATATTGCGTGGTACGAGCACAGACACACACACATGTATGAGTGAGTGTGTGTATGTGTTTATATTCTTTTCCATGAAATTCCGAGTGCTCCTGTTATGTCAAGGAGTTTAAAATTTAAATAACTAACGACAAGAGAAATGTTATATGCGAGACAAGCTATGTTTTTTCTTCTTTCTACATAAACTCGATAATAAAAGCTTTTACGGACGCGACCAGTCGGTCCCAGAATGTGATGAAAGCGAAAAAAAAAACATCTCATTAATTTTCACT